GATAAGTGAAAACTGATATGAGGCATGAGGAGTAGATGTAGAGAGGTTTATAAATTATTTATACATGATTGGTAAAATCTTAAAGGGATTTTATTTAAACATTTCAGTTATTCATGTTTTATGCATTTTCTGAATAGGTGACTGTTTTGAGATCATATGAAACGATGATTGGTACAGCTCGCAGGCTGTCAGAAGGCAGTCTCATCTTCATCCTCGACAAGGCAGACCTGTACATCAGAGTCAGGGATGGATTTCGCCAAGTTTTGGTAAAATATTTTTGAAGGCATATCCTCTAAAAAGACCATTTCTTTACAAGTATTTCTTGTTTTAGCACAATTATCTGGCTTGCAATGCACATTTTATTAATCGTAAAAATGTCACTTTCCCTTTTATACTATTAATGAACAAGGCTATAAAGCTATTAGAATGTGTTTTAGAATTAAAAGATTTTCCTGTTTTATTTTAGCTTGGTGACTACAACCACTTCTTTTCACATGGGGTAAGTAAATTGTTTCTGCAGTTTGTCTGATGTAAATATTCTACATTTAATGATCTTAAATTGGACATCTAAGCATCTCCAAGTCATGGTATACTGTGTTGTTATAACTGGTACAGTAAATAGAATATAGCTATAGTGTGACTTTTGTGCAGATAACAATTTATGTTCTAATGGAACCTTAAAATGATACCTTGTATTTCATAGTTGAGTTCTATAATTTCCTCTGATTTTCATTCTTTCCTTTGGCTTCTCTCCTTTAAAAACACAATACCTGATTTGGAAGTCATTACAATATACAGTATATCTCAAGTGAAAAAAGTCATATTGTTTAAATGACTAATAAATTGTGAATACAATTAAATGGAGTAATTGTAAGATCTCTGTATCAGCATGCCATTACACTAATTGTAACTTTTCACATGTGTAAAAATGCTGTTTTCTTTTACTGCACATGAACTTTGTGCCCTGTACTTGGAAATTAAATATTAATACCGGATATTTTTTAAAACTACATGATGCACTGACAAAAACCCCATAAATCCATTGCAATTTTAAAGCCTTCTCAGCTGGTGTTATTCACAAATGTTTTGAGCAGGTGTCAGCTGGATTTTTAAGAGTGCAGAGACATTGGGAATGAAAAACAAGACCTGCCTGGAATGTGTACATACCAAATAAAAATTGAAGTGGATGTTGACATCTGTTTGATCATGGTGTCAGTAAAGCACAAATCATAGAGTGATGAGCTGTGGTTTTAAACAATGTAAATCTTGTTAGGTGCTTGATTCATGTGTATGGTTACTTATGTTTCTCTTTCTTCTTTCAGCAGGACAATGAGGTGGCTGCTGTCCAACCTCCTGTTGTCCACTGGTCCCAAGATCGTTCTGTGGACAATGGAGCTGAGCGCTTTTCCCAGGTCAACCCTCCTGTAGACATCCCTATTGTGCACCCTCCACCACGCCAACCTGACCAGACCTATATACACTTCCCCAGCCCTCCCGAGCGAGAGCCATCAAGGAGGACACCTGTTGTTCCAGAAAATAGATACCCATTACAGCCAGACACCCGGTACCCCATCTCATCTCCACATAGACCCAGCCAACCTGAGAACGCTCCTTCCAATCTCCACACCCACTCCTCTGGACCTGCAGTGAGTGTCTGCTGCAGTATCATGGTTTTACAAAAGATGTGTGGAATGAAATTAATCTGTTCCTTGCTTTAATACTTATTGTGTATTTTATAGGTAATAGTGCTATCAATTATGATCATTTGTCCTATGAACAGCACTGAGGATACCCAAATTAAATAAAAGCTAGATTTTTTTATGGACAATTTCCATTCTTGGACAGCCATACAGTAGAGAGTAAAGAAGTTGAATGCAGACTGACTTTGCTGTCCCTGATTTATCATAGACTCAACGGAGTCAGTGTTGTAACTGGTCTAAGCTGCCTTTGTGTCCTAGGCTTATTGTTTTTATTTCCTAGAATTAAAATGATTTAGGATTTTGCCTTACCTGAAAAGCCTGCGGGGCTGTGACTCAATGAATGGGGCCTTTCTGAGCGAATTCATTATTAAATGCAGAAATAGTTTCTAGATCAAATTCTCCCTCAATCAGTGGTATTGATTTGAAGCAATATGTTGAAGCCTTTTTTATATAATGGAGATGTCAGTGTTGACTCAGCTGTAGTAATCTACTCCTTTTCTCTTCTAGCTCCATCTGATCGCCCTCAACTCTCCACAAGTTGGCAACATGCGTGGCATCCGAGGAGCAGACTTCCTGTGCTTCCAGCAGGC